CTCATCAGAAAAAGTAACTGACCCAATACCTGCAATCTCATCAGTACTAACAACAGGTGCATCAATATGCTCAACGAACTGAGAAGTATTACCGACATCACCTGAGGTAGAAGGGATATCAACAGGGAGATGAGAGCGAGGGCGACGAACATAAACCTATAAAGGAAGAGAGACTGGTGACTCTGTACTGACAGAGATAAGTGGCTCTGGAGAAGGAGAAACTGATGACTCTGTACTAATAGTGACCAATGGCTCTGGCTCCTGCGATAACGGAAAATCAAAGGAATTATCATCAACCAGAGGGGCAGACACAGGACTGGAAGAAAAATAAGGAATGTGCTCAAAAAAAGTAACATCTAGACTGTGCTACATACGACGCCTAATAGGATCATAACACCGATACCCCTTAGACTAATGATAATAACCCACAAAGACACAACCAATTGCTTTATCATCAAACTTATAGCGAGTAAGAGACCGATCTTGAACAAAATATATGCAGCCAAAAACACGAGGGGGGATCAAAAAAAGTGTCCGCTCAGGAAATAAGACCTGTGAAGGAGCCCTATGCTGAAGAACACGACTCGGTGTACGATTACACAAAAAGATAGAAGTCAAAATAACAAAATGCCAATAAGATTTTAGTACCCCCATACCTCTAAGCATACAACGTACCATCCCTATTAAACTCTTATTTTTCCTTTTAGCAATTCTATTTTGCTCAGGAGTATATGCACAAGTGAGCTGCTGCAGGATATCTTGAGAGAAAAGGTGAAACACTAAGGCATCGGACACATATTCTTTGGCATTATCCAAATGAAGAGCACGAACAATAACATCGAATTGTGTCTTAAACATCTAGAGAAATTGTGTGATGACAGGGAGTACATCAGACTTTCTATGCAAAAGATAGACCCAAGTACAACGGATATGGTCATTTATAAATATCACATAGTATGGAGCACCTAACAAAGTAGTGACTGGAGAGGGTCCCCAAAATCAGAGTGTATTAGTTCAAATGGCTTAGATGACTAGTGCATGCGAGGAATATAACTGGTCCGAACATGTTTCAACAGGGAACATATAACACAATCAAGTTTACCACCAACACAAGCATTGCTTAAAGTAGAAAATAGCATACATAAATATTAAAAATTTGTATATCCAAAATGATCATATCACAACTGAACAATTTGTGATAAAAAATCATAACGACAAGTATTAGGCAAGATACTAGTATATAAGCTAGGAATAGATAAAGACAAAGCAGGTGCAGGTGATGGAGGTAGCAACTGGTAAAACTAGAGGTGGATCTCTTAGATAATACAATTTATCTCTCTCGTGTCCCTTANTAGGAATAGATAAAGACAAAGCAGGTGCAGGTGATGGAGGTAGCAACTGGTAAAACTGGAGGTGGATCTCTTAGATAATACAATTTATCTCTCTCGTGTCCCTTGATAATAATCCTCTTGATACTCATGTCCTATAAATAATACGAATCAAATAAAAACACAATTGCACAATGAAAATCTCTAGCTAACTGATGTACGGATAATAGATTCATGGTCAGTTTTGGCGCATGAAAAACTGAATGTAATGTAAAGCCATCTAGAAGGTGGACTGTACCCTTACCAACAATAGAGGCATATGTCCCATCTACTAGCTGAACATGTGTATATAACTACTCGTCAAAAGTGATGAAGTGATGGGTCTCACCAGTCATATGACCATTTGCACCCGAGTCTAACATCCAAAGAGGAGACGGACTGGTGCAAGCATGAAAGGCACAAGGTATACCCTAAGAAGTCAGGGCAGACATAAATATATCCAATCGGAAAATAATGGTATCCATATCACTCTGCCAAGGAGGAGCAACAGCAAGAACAGCGACAGTAGGTGGTGGTACCTCAACAACAGCAGTAGTACGGCTGCGAGGAGGCGGCTTAAACTCCGGATAGAACTTCCAGCAAGTAGCCTGGAGATGGCCTGATCGGCTACAATAATCACACCGACGAGAACGAGAAGGTACATTCCAGGTGGAAGTACTAACAACAGAGGCCTCAAGAGTAGAGGTCTCAAATCCCTCAGTAGTAGTCGTAACAATAACAATACGTGGGCATCCGTGACAAAAAAAAAAGTTCTAAAATAAATAGAGAGAATAGAAGGACAAAATAAGGGAGAATAATATACCTCCAATCGAACAATAGTGATAGATAAAAAAAGTCCAAAAAACTCCCAAATAATCAGATCACGGTGCCCAAAAATCTAATAAATATGATCTACTACATCAAGAGCAGATCAACGGAGAAGAGAATCCGCTCCCTCCTAAAAAAGTTCTAAATACTATAGCCTTGAAGCACTGTAACAAAAAGTGTGAAGGACAAAACTACAGCAAAAAACGGGACCCGACAATGGGCTGGGCAGTGACCCGGCAGTAGGCTAGCACTTTGGCAGACGATTTTGGGCTTGTGGGTCTACTGGTTTAGCTAAAAGGTTAACGGGTTAGGTTTGGTTGGTGTTTATGTCAGTGCTTGGTCGGATTGAGGGAAGAGTATATGTCGGTGTGCATTGTCCAAGTGTCAGTGTGGGTTTAATGTTTGCTTGCTTGGATTGGTTTGGCTGGGTGGTTGTGAGGGCTAAATATATAAGGTGGTTTGTTGGTTTGTCGGTGTAGTGGTTGGATTGGTAGTAGTGATATTAGTAGGTAGTTGATGCTACTGAGATGAAGTTTCAGTTCTGCTGGGGTATAGGTGTGGGCAGTCGGTGGCTTCTTGAGGTTGCTGTGAAGGATTAACCTAGATTGGTGTGGCTTGGGCAGTCGGTGTAGATGGTATGGGCAGTCGATGATTTGGGTTATTGGCAGTTGGTGATCTGGGTTATGGTGTGGCCTAGGCAATCTATGTAGATGGTATGGGCAGTCGATGTTTGGTCGGTTTCGCAGGGCAGCTGATAGCCAGAGTGGTTTCGGTAGTGGCTAGTTTTGCTTGAAGACAATTTGCCGGTGAGGCAGTCTCGATGGAGGCTAGGTTAGGGAGAAGGTTAGGGTTTGGGGTAAGGTTAGGTCTGGCTCTAATACCAACTTGAAATATTTAGAAGAAAGAAAAGGAATACAAACTAAGTGTAGAGCCCCATATATATAGCCAATGAAAAATATAATAAGGTTAAAAAGGTAAAAAAAGAAAACTATAATAAATCTTAATAAACTAAGCTGCAATATCTCCAACACAAACTAAGGTGAGGGTTTATTGTTTGCTTAGACTAGTGTACCACGGAACTTAATTGGGATATGCACTTTAGGTTTTCGGTGGGTTTGAATCGAAAGGTACTTTTTATAGGTAAGTTCATTGCTTTTACTAATTAGGTGTAGTTTTGATTTTGGTTTATGAAGATGAGTTATTGGGTTTGATATTAGCTAAGAATTTCCAAGTAATTCAATAGTATAATTGATACATATGTATTTGAGAGTTGTGGGATATGAAAGATGTGGTTGAAAGAAAAACTGGAACCAAAACGTAGGCAAAAAATAGTAAAGAACCGGTACAAAGTGGTGTTGTACCGGTACAACGGTTTTCTAGCCAGGAATGAACCGGTTTAACATCAAAAGAACCAGTACAAAATGGTTATGTTAAAAGATGAACCGGTACAAAGAGGTTGTACCGGTACAAGGCCCTCTATTTTGCGATGAACCGATACAAACATGTTTTGNAACATCAAAAGAACCAGTACAAAATGGTTATGTTAAAAGATGAACCGGTACAAAGAGATTGTACCGGTACAAGGCCCTCTATTTTGCGATGAACCGATACAAACATGTTTTTTATCCATTTTTCTATGTTGCTTCAGGTTCACCATCCACTCAATTTCAAATCTTTTTGAAACATCCTAATGGGTTCAAATCAATCCTAATTGATTTTATTTACCTACAAATACATAACTAAACCTAAGGATTTATTTACACTTTATTAATTAGATAAGGGATTGGGAATGTGTTGTTTCAATCATGATTACTCATTCATGCATGTGTATACATGATAGAATACTTATGTGTCTTGTGACAACGTATGTTTTACGTTCGGAGGCGACAACATCGACACTGATCTCACCTAAGCTTTCGTAGGGAAAGTGATTTTGGGTTGGGAATTTAACCCGATGTGAGTGTATTGATCATATTAATTGAAAATGTGATTGATTGTTTATTAGCTATACTTACGTGTAATAGCTGGAATGTGATTTAGTGGATTATAAATTTGTGAATTTGTGATTGGTCAAGAGTTCAAGTTTTGGATTAGATGATTATATGTTTTTCTGATATTATTGGATAACAAGACTCACAAACATAAACGGGTAGCAATGTGATTGCCGAGGCTCCTGGGCATAAACAATAGCGATGTAATTATCAAGACTCCTAGCCGAAAACGGGTAGTCGTTAATTCTTGCTGAGACTTCCGGGCATTGTTGGATAGTCCAATATTGGCTTTCACTTTGATTATGTGGGACTTATTTATAACTGTTCTATGTTGATATATTTTCTTTCTATATGTCTCGAATATACTCACCGAGCGTGTGGTTTGCTCACCCCCAACAGTTTTTTGTTTTTAGATTCTTGTATTTAGGAGGTGTTCCACTAAAAAGTCTAGCTTGGCATAGAGGTGTCGACCATCAGTTTATACACTGTCATGTGTCATTTTGTATATAGTTTGTTATGTTATTTTAAGGGTATGGTGCCTTATGTTGTAATGTTGTGCAATGCAAATGTTAGGTTTTCTTATTTGAGTGAATGGCTTAATTATTATTGCACAGGTTAATTATCATGATTTAAAATATGATTAAAGGTTTAACAGATTAAAGTTACCCACACCCTATCTCTTTTTCGGGATGGGGTGTGACAATTTTTGGTATCACAGGAGGATACTAAGATGAGTAATCTGTATTTTCAAAACAAGGACATCAGTTGCTTATTGTTTCAGCTATTTTCATCCCTCTATGACCATTTACAGAAACTACAATGTGTTATCAGTTGAAAGAGGCTGGAAGGAGCAAAACAATAGCTGGTAATGGGTCAATAATCATATATGTCAATTTTTGAAGCATACATAGTGCACCTTAATTTACTTAAGGAACAGTTTCAATCCCCTTCCATGAGCAACAGGAAGGCTCCAAGAGACTACCCCCTTCCCCTCTCAAAAAAAAAAAAAAAAAGAAAAAGAATAAAAAACCGCATACAGTGGGTTCATGGTGGAACCTTGTACACTGGATACAAGCTTTCTTAGGATACTTCCCAAAGGGAGAAAATCCAAAGAAGAGAGAAAAGGAAAAAAGTGATTCAGATGTAAATCCGACCTTAACACGCTATGGTACCTAGATAACATAATCAAATTTATTTGTTTCCATAGGCTCTAAAAGAGAAGTGCAAAATTACTGACCTCTGTTGCAAACCATATGGGAGCAAGATACAAACCACATTTGGTAACTTCCCATGAACTGAGTTTATGGTTCTCTGCAAGCATGTGGAACTCATCTTCCGGGTTCTCAGATATAAATGGCCACCCCTCTTCTGTTTTATTTAGATCTATGTCTGCAATTAGGCAGCTTTGCATCTCTCCTTCTGGAACCTGGTACATATCATTTAGTCTAAGAGGAACATTTAGATCAATTGGAGAGCTTAAGAGAGGGCTGCCATCACAAAGGTTCTTAAGTGAATTTGTGCCAAGAAAGCTGCAGATCCAATCTTTCAAAACTGCTATGGGTAGGAAAATCACCATAAGAGAGATCCCAAGATATGTGAGCACGAATGGATGCTTATACTCGGCAAAAATTTTCTGCAAATAAATAAGTATTGTTACTATGTATTCTGAAAACTTACTCATGGACACCAGATCCCTTCAACTGTTTGAATGTTTCAAAGGAAAGGAACCAAACATTCTACAAGTAGTATCAGAGTAAACAAAGCAAAGTGGAAGCCGCCCCCAACACAAACACATAATAAGCTGTGCCCCTGTTAGCACTAGTTTGTAAACTTCAGGCAAGTTGCTGTAAAGTTGTGCCTCAGGTCTTCATGTCTACATTCACTAATTAGCTTGCATATTTCCTCACTAAAACCCAAAAAAATATGTCATTGTTCTAATTAATCTCTAGTTTGGTGCTGATCTCCCTTAAGGGTAGCAATTGGGTGTGCACTTTACTAATGAAAATAGAAGAACCATAGNCACCAGATCCCTTCAACTGTTTGAATGTTTCAAAGGAAAGGAACCAAACATTCTACAAGTAGTATCAGAGTAAACAAAGCAAAGTGGAAGCCGCCCCCAACACAAACACATAATAAGCTGTGCCCCTGTTAGCACTAGTTTGTAAACTTCAGGCAAGTTGCTGTAAAGTTGTGCCTCAGGTCTTCATGTCTACATTCACTAATTAGCTTGCATATTTCCTCACTAAAACCCAAAAAAATACGTCATTGTATGTCATTGTTCTAATTAATCTCCAGTTTGGTGCTGATCTCCCTTAAGGGTAGCAATTGGGTGTGCACTTTACTAATGAAAATAGAAGAACCATATGGCATCACAGGCATGGGTATAACCTGCCAAAGGTTCAGCTCCTATAACTGTCACTCATGCATCCAATCCTAAGTAAGATCTAAAAATGAGAGACGGGTCAGAAGTCCACAAGCTTTATTCCCATTCATTATAGAGACACGGACTCCATGGACCCCAGACCTATGTTCCAGATAGAAATAGAAAAAAAGACCCCAGAATGGCCTTGAACTTTAACTTCCATAAGCACCCCATTTCATCCTTTGAACACCACTATCTCAATCCAAAGCCTATACATGAGCATTAACTAGCATGGCAAAACCCTAACCCGAACCGATTGATGCCAGTCTTAGAAATAGGTTTGGCAGCCAAACGTGGACTCAGAGAGTAATAGACACATCAATAAGCACATTCCAAGTGCTTCAAAACTTCTTGATGCCAAAGTTTCTAACTTGTTTTTTCCAGCATGTTTCAACAGAAATATTTCATCTTGGACAAGGACACAGAACCCCCCCCCCCCCCAAAAAAAAAAAAAAAAAAAAAAAAAAACAAAAACAAC